ATTTCTGGTATGCTAACAATTTCTCACAGAGATCTCACCTTCTACAGCAGATGCAAATGTGACCTCAATGAAGAGTGGCCTACTTGATGCATTTGAAAGTAAATTGTTTCCCTCCCCTTCACTCTGCTTGAATATGTTCTTTTTTGCAAGTAAAGGTTTAAAGCAGTTTGAAGCTGATCTTTTGTTATCTATCAATTTTATACTGCCAAATCAACAACTAATATTTTCCAAATCCCCAATATATCAAGAGAATAAAGGAAAAAAAAATTCTATTTGGTATTCAGATCAACTCTTCCACACCCAGTTTTATTCTACAGTACTCAAAGCAAAATTTCCATTAAAGGAAATGTTAAAAATTGCAGGACATAATTCTGGAACAGTACAGGAACCACAATACTCAGAGGAAGGTTCCTGAACATCCAGTCTTACAACGAGTAAATACCACAAACTGTTATCCTTCAGTATCAGATAACCAGTTTTCTGCTACCTATCACAACACAACTTGAGAACTGAAAAGAGAAATCATAATTTATCAAACCAAGAGGAGCATAATTGGAAAGAAGTTATATATTAACAGAGAAAAGATAAAAGAAAAAAAAAAAGGCACATGAACAAAGCCCAACCCTACAGAGATGAAGAAAAGAAGAAATAAATGGAGAGACTGAATGACTGGCATTCTGACACACTAAGGGGACCAACTTTTCAACCATTTTCTAATGAAAGAAGATTTTCACAAAGTGTAAACAAAAAAAAAGTAACATAAAACTATTATAAACAGTGTTATAAGCTGTGGAAAGACATTCAGTAATGCAGGTGAAGGCTGTCTGGTAGCTCATCTCTTTCATATTTGATTTCTCAGATCACTTCAGAGATCCAATGGTCTATCCTTGTCATGTCACAGTCTTTAGCCCTTTTGCGAAATATTGAAGGAATTGCTGCTGTTCCTGTCTCTATTTGACTCTTAAGGCTTATTGACTTTGGTTCTGCCTAAGGGTTCTTTCTTCTAAGACAAAACCCTCGAGATCTCTTGGTGAGTTCTTGCCTGCTAGCAAGGGGCACTGCCAGTTTTGCATGCTCATGCTTTGTGACTGTAGTCTTATTAATCTCCAGCTGTGTAGAGCTAGTTTTGCCCACACAGACGTTCAAGAGACAAGCTTTGTTCTAAACACGGCTATGGGATTTGTTAGGTGAAAAGAAATTCTGATTTGAATATCTCATTTCTTCTGTTCTGTTTTGAACTCTGGGGCATGCCTCATTTTCAAATGGAGATTTTCATTATGTTTAAGAACATAATTAATTCTGAAGCTGTATACACTTCACTTAATTTGAAAGGTTTGGACTTTTCCATAAATCATGGAAGACAACTGGTTTCTCAGCTGTTACAAAGCAGGAAACAAAAACAAACCCTGCATTGACTACTATGACTTTACTCTAAATACCCTCAAAGGGGCACAGTGATTGAAAATTCAGAACCATTAACTTCAAATGTACCGAAAGAAAATATTGATCAAACAGACCAGCAAAAAGCAGCCACTTGTAAACTGACCAGCCAAAGAAATGCACAGAAAGAGTTCTATTTGCTAGGACAATGTGAAACATTTGTCATTCATACCAGAAGCATAATCTGGTCAGAATTCAAGGATATATACTTAGCACTGATATCAGATCAATATCACTAGAGTCCAATGAAGATGAAAGCCTCTTACTGGAAATATAAATTACCTTTTAACATCAAGATCTCAAGTTATATTAAAACAGCACTCTTATCTTTACCTTCAGTCAAAATGGCATTTCAAGAATAGTTCACATGGAACACAATTTAAGCAGGGAATCAGAGACTGAAACATCAATCCATTAGGCTTCCTATTTCTCTGGAAGTCTCAAGAATGGAGAAGTTCAAACTTTACTTAATACGTTGCAGATGAAGATATCACAGCATCATCCTTCTAATTTTCCTATTTGTCTTGAGGAGTTGTAACTTCTTTTTTCCAGTGTAAAGCCTGAAATAGAAATGATTCTCTATGGCATTGAGGTTGGATTGATAGAACCATAGAATATCTGAAGTTAAAAGGATTGTCAAGTGCAACTCCCTGTTTCTCACAGGACTACCTAAAACTAAATCATGTGACTAACAGCATCATCCAGATGCTCCTTGAACTCTCTTGAGCTTAAGGCCATGACCATTTCTCTGCGGAAGCCTGTGCCAGTGATCAACCACCCACTGGGTGGGGAACCTCCAATCTGAAGTTCCCCTGGTGCAGCTTGATTCCATTTCCTTGTGTTTTGTTGCTGGTCCCTAGAAAGAAGAGATCAGCACCTTCCCCTTTGCTGCCCCCCAAGGACGTTCTAGCCTGCAGTGGGGTCACCTCAGACTTTTCTTCTCCAAGCTGAGCAAACCAAACCACCTTAGATGCTCCTTATAAGTCTTGCTCTTAGGACCTTTCACCATGGTGGTTGCCAGTGGACAGGGTCTAATAGGCCATTGTGCCTCTTTTGAGGCCGCCAAAACTGCACTCAGTACCCAAGGAGGGTTGCAGTGTAGAGTGGGACAATAGTCTCCCTCAATCAACCAATGATGGTGTGCCTGATGTACCCCAGGACACAGTTGGCTCTTTTGGTTACCAAGGCACTGCATATTCAATTTGCCACTGACCCAGTTCCCCAGATCTTATTCTGCAGGGTTGCTTTCCAGACTCTTCCTCTGATTTGTACGTACAACCACATTGACCTGTCCCCAGTGGAGAATCCTGCACTTGTGGCTCAGATTGCAGAAGTCTGTGGAGAACTGTTGCCTGAGGGATAGACTCATAATGGAGAAATTCATAGAGAACCATCTCCTTTGGGAGGGACCCCACACTGGATCGGGGGAAGTATTCTCCTCCCTGAGCAGTGGCAGAAACAACCAAGGATAACCTGGTCATAACCCTCATTCCCTGTTGGAATGCTGGATGGGTGGAGGTGGAGCTCAGAATGAGGGAGGGATGGGGGAGTGTGTTTATTTTACCTCCCATTATCCTGCTCTGATTTTGTTAGTAATAAGCTCAGTTAATATCCCCAACTTGAGTCTGTTTTGCCCATGATGGTATTTGGGGAGTGATCTCTCCCAGTCCTTATCTCAACCCATTACATGTTCTTTATATTTTCCCTGTCCTGTCCAGCTGCGGAGGGGATTGACAGAGCAGCTTTGGTGGGTACCAAGCATCTGGCCAGGGTCAACCCCACTACACTGCTCATGCTGTGTATAATAGCATAAAGGCATTTCAAATGTGCTCAGCACATAATTGAGCAGACTGATGGACATGCTAGCACACCATCCCACAAACATTGGCATGCTACCCCCAGGCTTTGCACTAGTGAGCCTGGTTTCATCCCTTCAAAACTAGTTTAAAGCTCTTTTAATGACACCTATTAAGTATTGGGCCAAGATCCTTTTTCCCCTTCAAGAAAGGACTGTCACTATAGCATCAGCAAAAGAATACTGCAGAAGTTCCATGAGAGTCTATCCACAATGCAGGTAGAAAAATGCAACCAAGACACCTGAAACACAGTACAAGACTAACACTGGACCCTCTGGATCTCAGACCGCTTCCAACCATAAGCAAGTTATTTCTGTCTTTTGTTTATAGTAAAGTTCCTAAGACAAATTGGTACAATTTTTTGTAAAGACTACTGGGCCCTCACTAAAAAAAGCCACATAAACTCATTTCTACTAGATAATAGAAAACCAAATTAGGTCTGGAGAAGCTAGGTTGTTGAAAAGTAGATCATAAACTGAAAACTATCACCACAAGTATAAATGCAGGAGGCAAGGCCTCCCTTTCTTGTATCAAACTTTTCTTCTGTGACAACTTTGTGAATTGAAGCAGTGGATTCTCCAAACTGTTTTAATGAATGAATGTCAGTGACCTGGAGGGAGCTCATCAGCAACAAAAGGAAGGTATTTCCCAGACACATTTGAAAGCCTAACTTAGTATTCAACCAGCCAAAACATCATATTGAGCAAAGAAAAAATATTTCCCGATTAAACTATATTTTTGGTTTTTTGGTGTCTCATGACATGTGGGAATAGATCCTTACAAAAATTTTGCATCAAAAATCCCATTTTATTTTCTACCAGTGTGATTTTCCATTGTTATTTTTCTTGCACTCTGCATACATTAAGGCACATTAATAAAGGGAAGAAGCAAGGCAGCCTGTCAGATATTTCAAAATGTACCATGGGAAATGATTGGTTTAGGATGAGTGAACAAAATCTGTTTGTTCAGCAAACTTAATTTTAGCTGAGAACCAAGAAATGTGTGTATAGCATGCACATATAATAAGTTAACTGGGCTCAAAAACACACCATATAGCTGGGCTTTTGGGACAGCAGAAAATGTTTTGATGCTTCATGGCTCAACTCTACCTTTTAACAGGAAGGAGAAAGCATTACTTCAGAAACTTATTCTGAGGGATGACAGATTTATAGTTTGCACATTCTCTTGGACTTCTGAAATGCTGGGAACAAAAACATCTATAGTTAAGGCTTCAGGGTAGGAAGAGAGTCTCCACAAGCACAGTAGCTAAGGTGAGATTGAAAGAAGCAAATAAAACATTATTATGTACTTTTAAAAATTCGACTATTAGCTCTCCCTCTGAAAGAACATTTTACTCTGCTAAATTCTTATAGTGCTGGTATTTTCAGAGTTTTAATTCCTATAAATAATTTTAATTCCTATAAATTTCTTGGTAACTGTGATTTGTATTCTCTAACAGGTCCACAGCAAAACAAGAAAACCCCTGTAAGATACAGCATCCGAATTCTCTCTCACACAAGGATGGGAATTGAAACCCAGCACAGTTTAAGAAGCTTGGGAAAGATATTCAGGGGATGCTGTATGAAGAGTCAGACAACAACAAAGGTTTGTGCTTCCCTTCCCTGCCAGTTTGCTGCCATGCATTCCAACACATCCAGGAGCCTGAAAAGCTGACTTGCATAACAATATCCTAACGTGAATTACCTTTTCAGTAGGTTTACCGTCTCGGGAGGTGATGTTTCTCCTCGTTTCCCAAACTACCCCTGGACCTTCTCATCCTACTAGCCCATTGGAGACTGTTCCACAGAGCTGCCTGGACCCCCCCCACAGCATCCACCTGTGGAAGAAACACAGATTGAGAAACTGTGATGCAGCAGTTAAATCTTCTCTAGACATAAATTGATGACATTGAGAGAGAATAACTCAGGTAGACTAACCCATGAGCTAGAGCTGTCACACACAATCTGAGAAGGGAGGGGAGTTGTAGGATTACAGTGCCCCCTCAATATATGTAGGTGTGGCAGATCTGCTGAAGGCACAGTTATTTCAAGAAGACTTTTAAGGAACAAATATAAACCAAGATTTCAAAGACAGCAATTAGTCAATAATGTGATCACCTAACTTTGCAGATGACAACCTTGCCTTGCCTGTTAGAAATGCCTGTATTTTTGCATACTTAGCAGTAATAGGAAGAGGGTGGTTACTTCTGTAATGAGTAGCTTCATCATACACCACAGAGGATAAGGTGGTTGAATTTAGGTCTTTTCCTGTTATTAGTGACAGTGAAACATGTCTGTGTACACCTCTTGAGGGCAAGGCATTCCTTCAGCATTGGAAACTTTCTCCTTCTAGAGTCTTATATGCACACCATAGTAAAAATGAAAATTGGAAAAAAGTTTAAAAATCAATTCATTTGATAAACAGTTTTCAATTTATAGCTTCTATTTACTGCATCAAATTTCTGTACCAGTAATAAGTACAGATTATAAACAACAATATGCATAAAATTTCATAGCTTCAAAACACAGATAGGTGTGAGATAAAAAACAAGCCTTTTTATCAAATATTTTAAAAAAATTGTTCATTTGCAAAAGAGAAATAAATTCTACTTCTTTTGTTTATGACAAAAGATAATTGAGTAAATCATGACTTCAGATAACCCATAAGCCACTGATTCTGTTTTTCAAAGACCTGCCTGCTTTCTATTCCTTTGGCCTTGGCTGCCTAGCAACCTCCACAGAGCTTTCTTAGTCTATACTAATTCTGGAGAGTTTTCATTTATATATTTATTTATGAGAATGTCTATAAGGAGGATGCAGAAACAAAGAGCTGTTTGTTCCTTCCTTCTAACATTCCAAACATGTAATCTCAATGTCTCAGTGAGGGACACAGTCCTCAGTTTTGCAGAGGTACCTGCCTCCTTGATTTTGCTTGGGATCCAAGCCAATCTCAGTTTCTGTTAGACAAAAACTTAGTTTCTGTAGGATGCTACTGATGTAACAGGCACTGGTATTTCTTGCCTTCCCTGTTGGTTTGATTCATTGATAAGTTTTTTTCACCCTGGATTCCTAGGTGCTTACGTAAGGTTACTGTGCTCATGCAGTCTGCAGCTCTTACTTAACATGAAGACAGTTTGTGCTACTGCTCTGGGTCACCAACAGCTCCAGTATCAACCAAGCTCTAGAGGGAAATAGAAATTAAAGCTGATCTGCTGTGTCTGTAACTCAAAGCAGGACAATCTGGAAGGTTTGGATGGGACTGCTTGTTATAATAAGTAGTTTGAAACAGGATATGGACTGTCTTTCTCTGAGCCAGCCATCAGCTTTGCATGGAAAACACTCCTCTGGGGTTTGTTGGTTTGTATTTTCGTTGTTTTTGGGTTTTTTTTTTTTTGGTTTTGATGCCACAGGAAATATCTCTATGCTACATTAAGAAAATATTTATTTTCCTGCCAGTTCTATTCACCTAGCACTTCCCAAATACTTTATGCCCTTATCAATATAACCATCTCTTCCAATCCAAAAGAAGTGGGGAGAAAAAAGAGAGACAGGAAGGATTCGTCAAGTATGTGTCCTGAAGAGCTTAACAGGCTCTCTCAAACGATGTGGTAAAGAAATGCCAGGTATTCATAGCTTGCAGTCACATGGTGGGGATGTAGGGTTTGTATCTCACTACTTCCAACCCTGAGATCAGATGGAAAATCTTGCACTTACTTCTGGATCAGACTGAAGCCTGAAACACAACAAATCAATATGTCTTAAGATATCTAAATATACCTTAATCACTTGATTCCATTTTTTTTCTGATTAAGTTGACCTTTAGCTATGTTTTGTCCTTAAAGGACATGCAGGGGATCTGTGACAGAACATAAATCTAAAGCCAGATCTTCTAACTTCCACTCAATTTCTTACCAACAGAGTTACATACATAAAGATTAGGTTGTTATAAGCTTGTAGGATTATGGAAGCATTTATAAATCTTGGTGTTTACATATACTTATGCATAAGTAAAAATTTACTCCCAATTAGAGAAATTTACTCCCAATTTTCTCCCAAGTAGGGGAAGACTATATTTTTTTAAATCTTATCAAAATTGTAACAGGCAATAAACATATTTGTATATTGGTTGGGTGGTATATCAGTGTCCAATGAAATAAAATAAGAGCAACAACATCAATGATTATTCAAATTTTGGAATTATTCAAATTGGAATTATTCAAAAATAACCTGCTGGTTAAAAAAGTGACATTTTGTAGAACAACTTATAAACATTTTTTATGAAAATATTCATAGAAACTAAAATGGGCAAAATTATTCAATAAACAGAAGGAAGAAACTTACTGGAAATAAACAGAGATCTAGGATTTCTTTTTCTTATTCATAGGCAAACAATAAACATTTTTTTTTAGTTCCTTTCCCTCTGTCATTCCACACAGTAATTTAAGTTTGTAGTTTGCAGCAAATATCTCAATCTGTACTCCACTGAGTTATTGTAATACAAATAAATTCCAAATATAATCCAAAACTAAGTAGTTGCTTATTGAAAATGAGTTTCCATACGTATGTTCATTTTTTACAGAGCATGATTATTTAGCAAAACTTGAGCATGTGGTGTTTCCTCCCCTTACAAAGTATGATCACAATTACATATGTTTTTAAATGTTAAGTCAAACTCTCTGAAAATAAACCTACTGAAGAGTACTAGAACCACAGACTTACATGTCTGTTCTCTTACTTTTGTGAGAAGTCTGCTTTTAATAAGCTCAAGGGCAGGTAAATAGACAATACAGAAAAAGACTTCTCCATGCTTTTTTGTTTTTTAAAAAAATATAATAGGTTTTTTTCTACAGAATGAATGAAATTGAACCATGCTAAAGCAGCCAGAAAAGGAAATTCAACCAGAGAAAATGAACTTTCTCAGGTTAAATGGAAAAATAAGTTGCATGCAGCCCCATTCAAAATTTCAGAGACTATAATTAGGTACTAAATCTACCATATTTACACTGGAAAACCTCACCTGTCATGCACTTTTGCTCCCAAAAGGAGAGAATACTAAAAAGATAAATAATCCTCGCTCCCTTGCTCCCTTCCTTCCTTCTCTCCCCAAAGAGAGAGATGCAAAATGCCTTCGGTTTCTGGATATGGACTACAGATAAATGAAATGGTAGGGAGGGTGTGGAAAAAGGTAATAACAAAAAGAAGCTTTAGTGGGAAAAAGAGAACAAGAAAATTATCATCAATATTAAAGTATAATCTTTGCTTGAATAACTAACTCACCAAGGAGAATTGCAAGAAACCTTTTGAAAACAATCAATAGTATTATTCCAACTCTCAGCTCCTCATTTCAAGTGCACGGATTTTACTTCAGACTTAGGCCAGTAACTGATCAAAATTTTGTCTAAAATATCTAAATATTTTCTAATATTTCATTATGGCAATAACTACGAAAAACTCATTGAAGTTGTAACCGGGCTTTAGTAATTGTTCTCAAAGCAGCTATATTTTTATAGGTTGCAAGGGGATGAAAAAAGCTGCAGTAAAAGGAAAATTTATTAAAGAAAGACTAAACTTAGTGACATATGCTACCATGATGAAGTAAAGAACATAAATACGCAGAAGAGAAAACAGTTACCCAGTTCCTGCTATTTTGAATAAATATCACTAACAGGGTAACATTCAACTGCTAAAATAAAGGAGGTTGTTATACTCTGTTACTACATCTGAAGAAATGCCTTCGGTTTCTGGATATGGACTACAGATAAATGAAATGGTAGGGAGGGTGTGGAAAAAGGTAATAACAAAAAGAAGCTTTAGTGGGAAAAAGAGAACAAGAAAATTATCATCAATATTAAAGTATAATCTTTGCTTGAATAACTAACTCACCAAGGAGAATTGCAAGAAACCTTTTGAAAACAATCAATAGTATTATTCCAACTCTCAGCTCCTCATTTCAAGTGCACGGATTTTACTTCAGACTTAGGCCAGTAACTGATCAAAATTTTGTCTAAAATATCTAAATATTTTCTAATATTTCATTATGGCAATAACTACGAAAAACTCATTGAAGTTGTAACCGGGCTTTAGTAATTGTTCTCAAAGCAGCTATATTTTTATAGGTTGCAAGGGGATGAAAAAAGCTGCAGTAAAAGGAAAATTTATTAAAGAAAGACTAAACTTAGTGACATATGCTACCATGATGAAGTAAAGAACATAAATACGCAGAAGAGAAAACAGTTACCCAGTTCCTGCTATTTTGAATAAATATCACTAACAGGGTAACATTCAACTGCTAAAATAAAGGAGGTTGTTATACTCTGTTACTACATCTGACCCTGAGTTGCCATTCCAGAAGAGCACAAATTTCTTGTAGATTCAAGGCCTTATCTGCCTGCTCCTGAAATCTTGGCTAGCCTAGGATGTGTGAAATAGAATTAGATTCTCTTATTTATGAATCTGAATCATTTGCAAGCTGCTAGTAGAAATGTGTGTGAGCTCTGGGTATTTACATGTTAAATAACAAGAGTAAAATCAATAAAACAGAAAATCATAGTGCACTATGCCCACAGAAGACTTTCACCTCAGGGTTCAGAGAGAAAATACTAGAAAGTTCCTTAAAGAAAGGTATCTGCATACAAATTCTATACTAGCAGTAAATATGAAGAACTTAGTGCTAAATCTCACTTCTGACTGCTGACTCACTGTGCAGTAAAACAAGCTACTGGTGTTTCCTTGATGGTTCGAAAAGGTGCTCTTACTAGCTTTCATTCCCTTCAGTTTTTACATATTCTGCTATTTCAGAGCTCTATTTTATTTAATATTCTTAAAAGAGCAGAACATT